CTCTCTCTCTCTCTCTCTCTCTCTCTCTCTCTCTCTCTCTCTCTGGGACCGTCAGACACACGTCACGTCCGCGGGAGAAAGGGTTGTTCCGCGAGGCGTGCGCTGGCCCACGCGGTACACTGAAATACCATTGACGGGGGGGCCCGCTACGGGCCGATTTCGATCTCGATTAAAGGCGGAGCACACGTACAACCGCCACGAAAATGCCCACCGCATAAACGATCGGGACGGGTGGACGCGCGATCCTTACGAATAAACGATAAACGCGTCGGCAAACGTTGAATATTCTCTCTCTCTCTGTCTCTCTTTCTCTCTCCTCGTCTCTCTGCTCGATTATTCCGCGTGTGTAGCCGGTGTGATAATCAGCCCGAGCCAGCCCGTTCGGGAAAATACGCACACGGCAAATTGCTGGCCCCGTGCGAGGAATACCATACCATGGCCGAGGGGGGATGGGAGAGGGGGGCCCATGGGTATCGGGGAGCCTAATTGTTCCGTTTAGATTGCGTGAGATAGATCTGCGAAACGAGGTTCGAGATTTCGGCGAGAAAGGAGATTTGGAAAATTTCGCAAGAGTCGTTTCTCTTTTTTTTTATTAAGCAATGCGATGATTGATTATTGTTCCGACGGATGCCATTTTAATGTAAAGGGTAAGTATGGATTATAATTTTGGCCAATGGAATTTTTATGCTCTTGATCATTCTGACTTCATTGTTAAAGAAGGATACATTGGTATACATTATACTAAAGTCGAATGATTATCTGTAAATTGTAACGAAATAAAGTTGGAATATCTCATTCTGGGTCTTGATGATGTTAGAAAAGAGAAGGGCGTATAATTGACGTCAATAATTTTTCTTTTTCTTTTTCTTCCATAAATGGACGTATTAAAATCACATGAAGATATCGGATACGAGGATGCATCGACAGAATATGAAATATTAATAAAAGAGGATCCCCGAAGAAGAAACGAACGATTCGAATCGATCGCTTCATTTCTCAATCACGTCATGAAACTTTCCTTCCATCACACGCATCGAACGCAAGCAAAATAATAATCCGGCTGTGACACGTTGCTCGTGCGCATTTCTATTCCACAAACCGTACGTGTAATACGAATCCAACACCTCCAATACAAATTCGTTTCCCCTCCTCCTCCTTCCCTCTCCTGCTCATCGAATAATAAAATAATCCAAACGTATCGTGAAAAAAGTACCATATATATATATATATATACATATTACAGAGAATGCGTATGGAAAATTTTCAATTGATTTTTATCAGAGAATTCTGTACGAGAGAAATGATCGAGGATCTCTTCCAAGTGTTTCAGGCATACGTGTTTATGCGAAAAGCAACGGTATCGATCGTGGCCCGAGGTCGTAGGATAAGAATTCCAGGCAGGCCGGTGGTATCACGAAGCGAAATGTCTGGATATATCACGTCTGGTGGGGCAACAATGAGTGACAGCTGACTCCCACATGCTGTCACAGGCGTCATCTTCGCGATAATGTACCCGACTCCGGTCCCCCTCTCTCTCGATTGGTCGTATCTGGTTAAAATCGTTACACGGTCAAATCTATAGGACCTTCCTGCTGCTGTCGGAGAGTCACACTCGCGCGCGTGAGGGGCGATGCGCGCGCGATGTGTATCGATGAGGGAAACGTTCGAGGGGAAGAAAAAATAAAAAAGAAAAAAAAAAAAAGAAAGAAAGAAAGAAAAAGAAAAATAAAAACGACGAAGAAACGACGTTGACGGATTGCCGTTGAAATTCTCTCCTGCGAGGAGAGAATTTTCTCATCCGATGGAAATTTCTGATTTGAAGGGATTCGACGAGCGAATAATTCTCTTCGAATCGACGTGTGTTTTTAAAAATATTAGGATATCCAGTATATTAGACTTTGAAAGAAGTAACGGAGCTTGTTCGTGATGAATATTTTCTAGAGGCCACGCCGAGTCGAATAGAAAATTTTTCATCTCCTCGTAAATACCCATCTTCTTGCTTGTATCTTTCGATCGACTTCTATCACGTGGATCGATGACGAATCCCGCAAATTCTCTCTCTCTTTCTCTACAATTATGAAACGAAACGAAAGCAATAATAATAATCGGTGTTGGCCCCGATTAGATACGATTAATCTAGATTTAATGGGAAGGAAAATTGAATAGGCACAAGTTTGTACACGTTCCAATTAATTCCACATAATTCTCGTCCGGGACGTCTTAATTTTCATTTGAAGGGGCCCCGCGATCGCTCTCGTCTCCCCGGACACGAAGAGGATATAGTGTACGCCGCGCGACCGACTATATACAAGAGCGGGAACAAGCGGGAATGGGGGGACATTAATAATGCATCGGTTGTCGCTGGATTGCTTCCTACTAGCAGCAAGTACGAAACAAAAGGGTGAGATGCTTGTCATTGTCACCTACGAGGCGAAGATCATCTTGTCGGCCGCGATCGTTCGGATCGGCGAGTTTAATCCGGACGTGTTGACGAGTCGATTAAAATCTAAAATCCCTTCGTTCGCTTTGAAGTGAGAAAAGACGGTGCGTTATAAAGTCGAAGACGATTATTAACGTTTTAAAATTGTTTATCTCACGGAGAGAGAAAGAGAGAGAGAGAGAGAGAGATTAATTTAAGGTAATAAAGTTAAATTTTTAAATTTAATTATGATCTTGAAGTATGGATTAAGAACATACTTGTATTCAAGTAACTCTTTTCTTTACGAACGACAGTGTACAGTGCGATTGCCATTTGTCAATTGTTTATACGAACGCATCGCGGTGGTCAATGGAATCGATGTAACGGGTGAACTTATCTTAATCTACTTTCCCAAGGATTCGATCCTTTTTTTTTTAGAATTTTTATTCTATTTTTTTTTAGAAATTTTATTTTACTTCCAGGGGAACCAAGAGATATTGAACGAATCAATTTTTATACAAATTTTATCAGGAAATTTTAACAGGAATTTAATTTCGAAATTTTTTATAAAACTATTGTATTATCAAAGGATATTTAATCGTACGCAATTTTCAATCATCTTCGAAACTAACTAAATTTTTCGATATGACTAACGCTTTTAGACGCGTATCTTATATTAACTCTGACCCGTTATACGTTTTGAATATGCCGGCCACGGTGCGATATGTGTTTATATAAACAGTTGGTAAGTGGCGATCGCACACACGTTGCTCATGGAAGCACACACGTATAGGAAGAATTCAATGGTATAGTGGCAAAACGGTTTGAAGGTGGATTTTGGCCCCCGGTGACGTCACTTCCTACTAAAGTCCCGCCGGTCTTTTTTCGTTTTTTAAATGGACAGGCAAGGGTCCGGCTGCGTGACTCGTGTCGATGCAATGATAAACGGTTAACGGGTCGACGGGCATACGCGGTCTCGTTCCACCTCGTTGCCCGGCCTCTCTATCTCTCTCCCTCTCCCTCTCCCTCTCCTCCACCTCCTCTCTCATCTGCCCATCTCACTGTTTTTATCTACCACTCCGTCTACAGGCGCTCTTAAAGCGTAATTCGACAAACCGGATGTCTGGTCTGCCCCCTTAAATAAATCAGTTTGCCCGCATCTCATATTCCACCCCCGCTCTGGCCGAGTCTCCGCCAGAGTTTCCTTCCCGCTCCCCCCTTCCCGCCACGGAAAACGCGGGGTCGAAAGGAGAGAAAATGAAAGAAAAAGAAGAAAAAGAAAAAGAAGAAAAAAAGGCGACGATGATGGCGTGATCTGTGACGAAACCGGGGCCGACGATTGGGCCGCTATCATCCCGAGTGAAAGGAGTAACGCGTGATCTCATCGAAAGTCTGTGGAAATACACCGACTTACCGATTTATTGTGAAACGAGGCTTTTTAAATAACTCGCCTCGATCTCGACAATCTTTGCATAACGTTGCAAACGTACGAATTTTTTTCGTATTCACGAGATTTCTCGTAATCAATAATCTCTTCGATCATTGCCTCTTTTCGCTTGCAATTACAATTAGCCGGATGTTTACAAAGATTAGACACTTTCGGATCTATTTACGTTAGAAATTAGAGAAAACGCGTGTAAAGAAGGGAATACGGTGGAATAGAGAGCTCTCTAGCTAGAATACATATATAAGATTGCATAAGATTATTACGCGTCGCGACGAAGATTTATCGCTTGGATGAGGCGTGTATAACGCGGAGGTAGTGATCGAGTATCACTAATTGATCGATAGATCTGTCAACGGATCTGGAACGATCGGTGTGAATGGCATTCTTGGATAATTAATCGATAATAATCCCATTATTTAATAATACATACAGCCTATATATATATATATATATTTTTTTTTTTACAGCACTTATATATACATATATAGATCAAGGATCTTTTAAAACAACTTTCCATTTCATTCATTCGAAACAACTGTATATCGCGTACAACGACGATCCTCGTTCCTCGATTTCGTGTTCAACAAGAAAAATTTCCACGATCATCATCGATCGTCCTGATCCGCTTCGGAAGATGGTAGCCGAGAGGGAAAGAGAGGTTCCGGAAAAAAGGACGACGGTGGAGTGGAATGGAACAATGGTGATGACACGCGCGCGGGCTATAAA